TCTTTGGAACTGTTATAGACTGAACAGCTTGGGAGCCCGCTGTCCATAAACAGACTGAGGCGAAATCACTTTGTGAAATCGTTCCCCGGCCTAAAGTGATTAGTCGGAGGTGGGGTGCCCACAGTTCAGGGCTCTAATACAAATATTCAAGAACTACACACGTTTGCTTTTCGCTTATAGTGGAGAAAAATATGAGGCCACTGACAAGCGTAATGCACCTAAATACCGGGTAAACCGGCCAAACATGTTAAGGCCTTTGTCGATTGTGGATAAGGCATCAATATTTGCACAGCATAGTGCCGTGTTTTGGCGGACGTCAGCGCGAACGGAGGACTTGCAGAAGAGCTAAGACTTTTGCAACATGTTGATAATCATTTTAACGATTTGGGGATCAGTGTATACTAGGTACAAGCAATTTGTTCGGGATTACGAAAACGAAACTATGAGAAGTATCTAAGCTATCAGAAGGGGCGTTGCTCCAAATTACAGGTTAACTCGTTTTACGTCAGGAATTTGCAAAACAAAAACTCCTTACCTTTCTATTCACCATGCATCAAAATTCCGGTATGCAAAAGCACCGTCACTCGTTTAATATAAGGGGAGCCTGGGATGATGAAACTGCAGGCCGCAGACTGGAGATGTATAGTCTAAAATTTTGCTTTGGATGATGGACCACTTCGGTTTGGGAAAATGTTTTTGCCTGACCTGAGTGATCTGGTGTGTTTCGAGGGGGCGCCGAATACACAGGAGTGTCACAAATGGCTTATAATGATCTGAGGGGATAAATTCACAGATGCATCTATCGGTACCTGCAAACCCCATTTAGATGGTGGGAAGCATCAACGATTTATACGGGGAGTGAAAGAGGTGTCCATATACTTGGGGCAATATCCTGTGACTCACGTTAATTGCGGTCAGTGAAAAGCTGCCATTGCGTAATATAAGAGATACGAGGTTATAACACAAGCCAGAGTACGTTTCACCTTGTGGCATACCTCCCGAACTGTTTCAACAAAAAACAACCCGGGATAGACTCAGCTTTCTGCTGACCGTTTGAGGGCTTTAAGTGTTTTGGATTCAAATTCAAGCTTTAGACACTTAGTGGATAACGTACTGTCTTGCCGCTAGTGCAATGGGTTGAATCCCACCATTGTATTTTTCAACTGAAGTAGCCCCGGAATATGGAATTTTTCGGATCGATGTTGCCATGTAAAAAATTTCTTAGAAGACATTATAAAGAATGGTGATCGTAAATTGAAGCAGTATAGCCACCTGTCCATTTTGAGAGTACTTCAACATCTGGGCATTCTGTTGTCAACACTATTTCTATGAATAGCGCAGTTATTTTTAAAACGTTATCTAGCCACATAGTCCGTTACTCAGTAGGTTCGCACTTATTTTCACTTGGACTATGACAGCCAGTAACCATAATGGCGTCTCTGTCGAAACGGAAATTTATCTGTCTATTGTCTTAGGTTATATATATCATCATCATCATCGACAGCATGACATCAGTGTTCAACACCGATGCTTCATTGCCGTACAACCATGACTTATTTGAAAGCCTTATTGTAAAGAAAAGAATAAAGGTGGATGGGGGGGCTATATATATACATCTATATGCATATATATAGTGGCTAGTGATCCAGCGGGCAGCATCAGTAATGCTGGCTGTAAGTGCTAAGTTGGGGTGATAGAACATCAAAAACGTGGTTTTTTTGGCTTGCTTTTTTCAC